ACCCTATTATACTGACCTGCGTGATGCACTCCATTCTCTACCTTTTTTTTTAGTCATCATCGAATCTTTAAATCTTGAATCTTAAATCTAAAGTTATGCAAAAGCCTGAATACAAAACTGAGATCCTGTTTGTAAATGTTTTTGATTTGTGCTGTTTAAAATGGGTTATAAAAAACACCGTTTGTTTCTAAAAGCATCTAGAGGCTGGTTCAGTTTTCAGCAGATGGATGGATGAGGTTGCTTCTGAGAGATACCAGTCTGTCACTTCCACTGAAGTTGGTGGAATTTGTGTTCCCAGGACATTTTAGAATTGTTTTAAGGAAATGATAGATTAAAAGGATGGGTTTTTGTTCCAATATTTTGTCTGCAAAAGGAAACTAACCAGTTAGCAGTATTTGTTTCAGTATCTATTATGTGGTGAAAGAATAAGAGCTTGCCCACCAATATTTTGATACTTTAACTAATGTATTCAACAAAATATGCAAAAATGGGGAAAAGAAGTGTATGCATTTTCTGGACACACCAGGTTTACCAAAACTAGTGCTTGACTGTCTTTGCAGTGGAGTGGCTTGAAGGCTGTAAAGTGGACGTTTAAAGACATTCAGTTTAGCTATCCATTGACTCTCCACGTTCAGGAAGGGTGTATGATGCATTTTGTGTATGATTTCGAAAGCAAGTCTACTTGAGATCTGGGTCAAAATGATTAGAAATTGAAAGATGAGTACTCTGGATAAGGGAACGTTAATATAAGACCCAGGCATTTGCTTTAGACTCAGAGGATTTGTATTTTGTGGTAGGTAGGCTAATTCCAAGTATAAAAAAAGATCTGTAAAACTATAGTGGCATTAACAAGTACTTACATTTTAAATGAAAACAGATTTTCTTTGTTTTATTAATTTTATTTATTTATTTTTTTAAAAATTCATGTCTGAACCTCTTGCCTGAGAGCTGGGCCAATTACCTGTGCATTCCTGACATAAATAGCAAGTCAAAGCTTCGCAAATTAGACCAAATAAAATATGAACACCTGAGACTCAGTATATACTCTACTAATTGGCAATAGCTCCTTGTTACTGATTTATAACCGGAAAAACAACACAGAATTTCCTTGCGAAGAATAAAACATTTGGTGGTGTAACTGAGGAAGACGTAGATGAGCTGGATGATCGTGTTCTTCACTTACACCCCGCAGTCATCAGGGGCAAAAGCCCCTCTGGATACAGTACCACCTTATTGTATTATTTTCCCTACTGTGCCCTAATGTTTAAGTTTCTGAAATAAAACATGTAGTCTGTAGCCCTGCCTTAAGTACTTAAATTCCTGTTCAGTTCACTGCGGAGGACGCTTGTGCTACCCAGAAGGAAGTGCTGCAGAAGGAGCCATACATCTTAAAGCGTGCCCCTCTTCAGCCTGTATATGAGGACAAAATTCACAGCTCAATTCTTCTGTTCTTACGTGCCAAATATGATGTTTACACCATGAATGGGTAACCATGAGCCAATTTTGGAAGCAGAAGCATGTGTGGTGAGGTCTGTGTAAGCCAGCTTGGGTTTGGCAGCTGTGTTGGTGTATGCCAGCTAGAGAATGTCACCACAAGAACTGCGGATGCAAGGTTTCCTGTGTTAGGGACACGGCTGTCTTGTCCCGTATGAAAACATATGGGCGTACACGGGCCAATATTTTCCTTTGCTTGATCCCAGTTTCACCCTGTCTGAAAATGGCCTTAGGAACTAATGTAGTTCTTGTATCGCTGAGGTGGTCAACTCAGCCCCGTGTTGGGTCACGTCATCTGGGCGAGGGAGCCCGCGTGCGTGTGCTGAGACAGAGGAAGGTCCTGCAGAAAGGCGAGCCAGTACCGAGCAAAACAACCAACCAACCAACCAGTTTCTGTATCTTGTCTCAGGATTTCAAGGTTTCAACACGTGCTGCACCTTAGCAAGTATGCTCTAGCTCGTGGGTTCACGGCTTTTGGACCCCAGCTGCTCATCATACGAAGGTTTTCTGTGCAGTAGAAACTTCCTGGCTTACGAAGTACTAGAGATCTGCACTCTGCTTTTAGAGGAGAGAGCAGTCATGGACTGTCTTGTCCTTTTTTGGGAATAAAAGCTGATTATTTTTTAATCAAATGACTAATAGTATCCTGTTACTGCATACATAGTTAGAATTTCTCTCCCTAGCATAAGCAGAAGTCAGCCATAAATCTTACTCTTTGTATTAAACTTCATGTTTTCAGTCAATGTCAGGTATAGTTTGAGTGGACTTGCTGCAGAAGACATTTTATTGTGCCCAGCTTGTGATTTCTCATTGACATGAAGGGAAGACGGGTGAGAAACTCAGCCTGTCACACTGGACTCAGGTCTGGAGTAACGTAAAGCAAAATGTAGTTGTTTGAAAAATGCCAGTTGTTAAATTTTAGGTGTCATGACGCTTTCATTTGCTTGAGAAGTTAATCAGGGCTTTTAAAGAATCATGTGTTTGGTTTTATTAGAAATTAGATCTTCCTGAATCTTCTGGAAGAGCTAGGCCGCAGCAGAGCAGGAGATGTGGTTCAGTATTGTCACAAAGATACAGACATTCATGAATTTTTATTGTGCAATAAACCAGATGTCAAGAAAACAATGTGTTTCAGAGCTCCTTTAAGAATATAATTTTGAGCATTTCAATTTTATTTAGAATTGCAGTTTGGTTTTTTGTTCCTCAGTGCGTGTTTCACTTGTGAGATTTGGTTACGCAAGTCACATTGTATTCTCTTGGCCTGTTTTATGCTTAAAATGTAACATGACATGATTGTTTAAAACTGTAATAAAATACTGGTTCAGCCTAAGTAATCCTCTTCTGCTAACTGGTTTTCTGGAATGGTAACTGTTTCAGAAAAAAAAAAAATTCAAATAGACTTAACTAATTACAGAAAAGCTGTGGCTAGCATGCTGCTCTGTCTCTTTTCCCATGACCTTCTAATTTTATAATTTTTTTGGTGTGTGTGACCAATTAAAATGTGACGGCAGAGCACAATAACATAGTCCAAATGCCCAGCAGCTGGGATATAGAGGTAATAATCCATGTCCTGGAATCATAGGAAATAGAGAGGGGACAAGTTGCAGATAATTTAGTCTCTCTACTTCTGCTTATGGACAGCTTTTCCTGAAAGTGCATCTGTTAAATTTACTCCTCATTTAACACATTGGCGTATGACTAAAATTATAGTGGTGTTTAGTTTTTTCAGTTTGACTTTTCTGTTACAGAAGTAAAATTGATCCCACCTAGGACAGAAAGATGGACTAGGTGAGCTCTCGAGATCACAGTTCTGTGGTCTCATAGTTCATGCTGACCTTTCTGTACTGTGTTTTGCCTTTGGATGATTGTGTTGTGCTCCATGTAGTGTTTTATGTAGATATCTCTTCCCTTGTGTTAGAAAGAAAAAGTACTTTTCAGATTTTGAGAAAGTGGTTCAGACATTTCTCTTGCCATAGGAATCTTTTGAATCTTTTCTGTTGCTTCTCCCTGCCATGGTAGCTCATGCATATTGGAACTCCTTTGGCATGAGAAATTGGTTCAGATTTCTGTCCTCATTCTGTAAAAGAATGAAATAAGAAGCTGTATTTTAGAGCTCATAAACTGCTCAACACACTGACTGCATTCCTCTTTGTTTTATTGTTCAGTGGTGTGAAAGGGGGAGGGAAGACAACTAGTTCTTTCTCTTCTGAGAGGAAAAAAACTTTGGGTTCACTTTTTGTGTCTCATTCTGCCACTGTGTGCTTATCTGTGGTCAGAAATCTTGTAAGAATGGACAGGACCCATATGTATGAGGGCAGGATTTGCCAAGAGGAGATAAATGAAATCAACAAGTAACAGTGCCTCATTTTATGTGTTGAGACTTCTGTGTCAAAACATGCTAGACCTCAGAAGATCATCTGTGGCTGCAGTGAAAAGTGTCAGAATTCACCACTGGGAGTGGTTTTCTAGGTATGCTGATTTAAGATGTTGGGTAATTCCAGCTGCTTTGGAATAGCATCAATTATTCTTTTTTATTATTCTTAAAGATAGATAATAAACAGTATAGTGTAAGGATGCCATTCTCAGTGGTTAGCCTTGTTGGGGAGCGTGCTTTTTGCCCTGTGACTTGATAAGCAATGTTCTGCCATTGCATCCTTTTCTTCATTGTTGTACAGACAGCTCTTGTCCCAGTTGCCTTTAGCTTCACATGAAGTTCATGCAAGCATTTGATAAGGGACTAATGAAGTGTGGGTAACTTTCTGGTATCAGAACAACTAAAACCATCTAGGAGAGTTCAGTTTGAGAAATGCCATAAATCTTTAATACTATATATTGACGAAAAGATCAAAGACATATATTTAATTGCTTTCAAATCTAAGCAAAACCAAAACTGAAATATAAGCATTTAAATATCTGCTCTGGGGCAAGGTGCTGCTGGATATTGAATGCTTTCTGATGTATATACTGTCTTCCCAGTGATTTCACTGGTAAGTGTGGTTGCTCAATATTTGACACGGTGAATTCAACACAGAGCAACAAGCTCAATTTTCTGACACATTTCTTCTTGCTTATTTCTGAGCAGTTTAGCTGAATTGAAATCTGTGATAGCAATAGGTGTTGTGGATTGTCAAGACCTCTCAGATGTGTCTCCTGTTTGAGATCTGAATAGGCCTGGAACTGTCCTCATAGAAACCACCTAATATGGATGTGGAGAAGTCTGAAAAAGCGACATCTCGGATCTGTACATGTATTTGCAGTAGGAGTTTTTGAAGGACTTAAGATTTTTTTTTTTTTTGGTAAATTATTTATTATTTTGTAACAGTTTTCTGTTGCTATATTCATGGTAAGTCTCATACAGACCGGGACTTATGGTCATGACTTAAAAGGTACATAAAAGATAAATAAGTAGAAAATGTATTTTAAGGCTCTTATTTTTTTGACTGCAGCGATCTGACGTACATTAATATCAATGACATTTAGGCCTATCTTTGTGTTTTGTTCCACAGGCAGCAGGAGCAATTCGTCCTCTAGTTTCTACTGTTATTGCCTCTGCTGCAGATGGCTGTTTAGACCACTCATTGGAACGTGCCAGGTACAGAGCGAGTGAAATGCCTCAGGCTTTCTTGTTTGATGTGATCTATGAAGCATACCAACAGGTAAGACTTTGAGACTTTTAAGACTTTTTTTCCGTTTACTTTAGCTGAAAAAAAAAAGATATCTTTATTTCTCTTCTTTCAAAAACAGAGATTCAGCATTTATTTCAGATCACATAAAACCGTATGCATATTACTTCTCTGTAGTCTTTTGGTGACAATGCTTTATCATTCTAATCTATTCAAGTTTTTCAGTTGTCAAACTGCCAAATACAAGAGCCAGTGAGGGGTCTAAACTATTGGAAAGACAGATTTGCTTTAATTTTTAATGCACATTAAATAAATTCCTTAAATGAATGGCTTAATGTATTTAAAGTTAGGTATGTATTATTGACTGAGAGTATCGAAGAGTTTTGGATGCACAGTGTAATATTGACATTATATAATAATAAGATGGGATACAGGCTGTTCTAAAATATTGGGGTAATATTAACTTGGTACATCTCAGTAAATATGTGTTTAATTTGTTCCGTGTTGTGTGTGTATTGTACATACTTTGATTACTGTTGTAATTCTCCATTTTTTTCCCCTAATATATTGCTTTAACATCATCTTTATTTAAGAAAATAAAAATCATGGGTAGTGTATTAAACCCTGACTCTTTAGCCTTTATCCCTCTTGAAGGCTGCTTGCGTTCGCCCCACCCTGCATTTACAGTTTACTGGAAACACTCCAGGCTCTCGTCTCAGCATTCTACTTCCTTTTCATTCATCACCTTGTGGAAATTGCCTGTCCTCCAGGTATCTTCCAGACTGACTGGAAGCAGAGCATTTCTTTATTTGTCACTTGTAAGGAATTATTTTTCACTCCAGTAACGCTGACAGTCACGCTTCCCATCAGTCTTTCATTTCTAGAGGAAACAAGCCCAAATTACTGATACCCACCTTCAGAGAGTACATAGCTTAGAAGTCACCGACAACAGGGCAGGCAATAAAGAATAAAGAGTTGCTTAATTGTTCAGTAATTGTTTTACTTAGAAATGTTGGCACAAATTCCATGGCATACCCTTTCTGCTTGGTACTTGAAGCTGTTCTTTGATGCTGGAGGTGCGGGGCTGTCCAAGACCAAGAGCTACTCAAGTGATTGGACTAGGTCCGTCCAACCTTTTTACTCCTGATGGGGAGGAGGGGGCTGTTCTTGGTGTACGTGATAACACACAGCTGATACTTCTAAGTGAGACTCTAGCTTGAATGTAGTGGGCATACTGGTGATAAAGGCAGCATGTACGTGCAAAGAACACATTTCAAGAGACAACAGCTACTGCTGGTTGTACAACTGTTTTGTTCTTAGTGATGTGTATCTCTTTCAGCAACTTGCATGTTTATATTGTTTCTCAAACCTCCCCCCCCTCAACAACCCCTGTTTTTTCCTGCTGTGTTTGCTCTTAGTTTGCATATAGAGCTGGCAAATACATAAAAAGCTTTTGCCCTAAATGCCTTGCTCAAAAGGCAACTATATTTGCAGTCCCTGTGCTCCTCTGAGTAGTGTTCTCTTCTCACATATGCATTCCATCAGTCTTCTTTTTTGTATCCCTGCTCTTTCAAGAACAAGCCACCAAAGTTGTTAGCAAGCAACCAAGGCCCTGGTTCCTTGTCCCCAGTTCCCTTCACATTGGCTAAATTTTGGTCATTTAAATGCTCTGTGCCTTGGAGCTCTGGGAAGGATAACACTTCGCTAAACCTCTCAACTCATATTGTTTGCTAATTATTTATGTTTCAATGGTGCCTAGCTGTCCAAGTCAAGGATTAGGACCCTATTGTTCTGGGAACTGTACAAACAAATAAAAGAAGATAGATAATTGCTGTCCTAAAAAACTTAGTCAAGCTACTGTAGGACAGATTTTTGTAGGACCAGGTGAAGCTTATGATGCTTCCTAAATAGTAACGTACCCACCATAGTTCCCACAACAACTTGGTGAAGCAGTTAAGTATCATTGTACAGATGAACAAAAAAAAAGAGAAATAAGGTTGCTGCTTATGTTGCAAGTCATTCACAAAGCTGGGAGTGGAATTCGGTTTGGCTGACTCAGTATGGGATCGTGATCCAACTCCTGTGTATTTTATACAGTTGTGACCTTTTTGCAACAACAGTGTGGGGAAAATCAATAGTCAAACATGCATTCCTTAGAAAGAAACTGTCCATTTGAATTATTGCTTCAAATAACGTAGGCTTTTCAGTTACATTGTGGGTAATGTGGAATACTGCTTTTAAACTCCATCTCTATTTAAATGCATCATCTGATGTGAGTAGGTAGATTTAAAGAGTTTACTTCCAGATGTGTCCTTTTTCATGAATGTAGGATCTTTGAGTGTCTTGACCACTAAGTTGCAACATTCAGTTGAAGTTCAGTTCTCTGATCCTTACAGGTTTGCCATCTATAATCTTTTGCTCTTCTTGTCTGGCACCAGTCTGGGCAGAGCAGACTAGCGCTCCTTCTCCTCTTATTGCTGTTTTGAATGTATTTACAACTAGAAAGGAATAGGCTACTAACACTATTAAAATATGTAAAAGATATTTTAGTCTCATCTTTATCAAATTAAAAGTAATTTCCTTAGAAACTTTTTCCATGTCTTGCTTGATTGACAAATGGTGGTAATGATTTGGGGTGAAATACATGCCTTGTACATAAAATCAATTGAAGTAGATATAACAAATGCCAAAGATTGGTTTAAAATATATATGTACTACAGTGAATTCCCTTTGTGGTGCCAAAAATCTATCACAGATATTCAGGACATTTAGCCAGGTTGTTTGCCTGTGTTTTGTTGTGATGCATCTCATTTTTGTGTGCTGCACCTCAGCTTGATTTTCACTCTTACCTCTTCTCCGTTGCCTAGAACACACGTATTCCAAGCAGATCTTTGCTCAGGTATATGTTGCTTTCTGATTTAACTGGGATGATGTCAAGACTTCTGACATCATAACTATTAATTTCTCAGCTTTATAGCAGTGGTGTTGAAACCTTTTAAATTTTGTTGCTCAAAAATTGCATGTACTCCGTTGTCTTTGTAATGGCTTTGAGAGCTCATTGAAACAAACATATTTCATCACTTGCATATCTGATGTAGAAGCCGCCTTTGACAGGGCTTTTCAAAGGTTAAAAAGCAGTACTTTTATTTTTTTTTAATGTGATTTTTTTTTTTTTTTCCTGGCTTTGGGTTTTCCTCATTACAACCACTTTGTCAAAAAGCATAATCAGACGGAGCACTTAGCTATAACAAATGAACAGGCGTAATGGGATTTGGGCAGATACAGGCACCGACCCCTGTACGTGACGCTGCTTAAAGATTTCCGTTGCAAGCCTCTGCGTTCAGCTGGTTGTGTGAAGCATGGGAAAACAGCTGTTTACTTCTATTTCAGTGAAGTATTCTGACGCTTCCACTTTGTAGTAAGACTTTGGAATTTGGCATCGGGATGGTCCTGAGGTGAGCAAAGGATGAATTATACAGGCCTCCTTAGGTATGCCTGTGAGTGTTACTGTGTCACTCATCATATATATGCCTGCTCACCTCATGCTTATGAAGTACAGCGCTGCTTTTGTGCCCTTCAGTTTGGTAAATTTAGAAAGTTTATGCCTTTTATTAGTATACTGCATGCTTGAGACAAGGTGGACAAGCCACAGATGTGAACAACTGCAGGGGGAGAAAAAACTGTGTAAATAACATAGGTGGTATCTTGCAGGCAGGGGCTTTACCTGAGCCAGGGGTTTTCCTTGGAATGCTGGGTAAAAGGCTGTATAAATGTTTTAAAGAATAAACATCATGTTGCATCAGTGCTCTTTGTGATGGTATGTCCTAATTTGTGAGTTCTTGGTTGCCGCACAATGTAATGAACCACATCACTAACCCTCAGTACGTATCAGTATTGGAGAAGTTAAACTTTTTAAAGTAAAAAATGCAAATCTCTAAGAATTACTAAAAGCTGTGGAAAAGTTGTAAGATTGCAGAACCTATGATTTACTTTAATTCTAACCTACCTGGGACAAAACCAGCCAGTTGGATTTATTTATTTTTTTGGGTTAATAAGAATTAAATTCCTGATCGTTGGAAACGTGTGTTTCTTTTCTATTTTTATCAGCCCTAAGGGAAATCAGAAAAGTTTTCAGTGTTAATTGAAAATCCACCCTTTCCAAAGACAGCAAATACAGGATAAATTCCTTAGACCAGACTTGTTCATTTTTGCTTAAGGTGGTTTCATGTTTCTGTTCAGCTTTTTAAATTAAGTAGGAGCAAATGCAAAGTATGATCCTGGAAGCCTGGGAGGAGGAGGGTGAGGGGAAGACTTCACTTACTAGAAGTTGAGTGTTCCCCTGGAGCAGTATCTTTTTAAGGAATTAGAGTATCAGGAAGTCAGGTAGACCACCTTTTTCCTTTAATCGGAGTAGGCTGAGGCTGATTTCTGTAAATCCTGTGTCTGACATAGTGTGAAATGCACAGAGGTCTCGGTGATCTTTAGTCTTTAACCCAAAGCATCTTGTCGTGTCATGTCACATTAGTGTACAAAATAACACAGCCACAAAATACAAAGGCTCAAATACCCAAACTTAACAAAACAGTGTGTATTTGAAATTTATCTGCCAAAGTAAAGGGGGTAGCGGGAACAATTAAAAAGCTTTGCCTTTCCTGATCTGGCAGAGCGCAACTGAGAATGGAAGCAGGAGTGATATGTAGAAGGTCCCGAGTAGCTTCTATGCCAGGGATGTAAACAAAAAGCCTAGGGAAGATGAGAGTTGCCAGCGTGAATGCTGGGGACACAATAGAATTGCTCACCAGTGTGACCAGTCCGGTGAAGCCAAGGACCTTGTAAGAGGGAAGAGCTACACACAGCTGAAGGAAGGGTGGGACACGTTTGAAGGCTACTCTGCAGGGATCCTTCAGATGTGGATGGTGGCAAAGCCTGATCACTATTTAAAGATAGAGTGATAGGTTTATAACAATCTGAATTTAAAAAAAATAATTTTGATATGCAATTTTTTTTTCTGGTCATCTTTTATACGTTGTTTT